GTAGTATCGATGTATTCAGTATTATTTTGGATCCAAATAATAGGCAGGTAATCAGAACTTTTAGTAGCACCGTAGGACAGTACCTGCCCCACGGGTCAGTGGAGGTCATATCAGCTGTGATCATCCTCCTCCTCGTCATTTTGTTTCTGCTGTGGCCTCTCCAGGAACTTTCTTCCTTCTGTTTATCTCTCTTTGCCTCCTCTTCTCTTGCCTCTTTTCCCCTTGCACTCCACTGCTACGTTGCCCCCCACTACCTTCTCCTGGCAGGATGTGACATCACGGCGGTGAAGCCCCTGGAGCTGTTCTATTCCCCCTTTGAAGTTGGAACTCGGAGCCTCATTAACATTAATGAAGGAGATGAAAATATTCTCATCTCATATCCCATTCTCCGTTCCTATTCTCGTCAGATGTGCAGATTTTGCTGTGTGTGTGTCCTTCCCCTCCATTAAAGACCTTTTAACAAGCCAGTGATGTCGACATATGTGTCTAACTGAGCTAGAAGCAGAGAGACATCTGAACAGGATTGCTGTTGCTAAAATAAGCATGATATTGGCAGACTGTATTAAGTCAGACATTATACAGTCTAACCTTGTTTATTAAAATGTGTGGATAGAGCCGAGCTGTACGTAGCTCTCGGCAAGGCCATGACTCTAAAAATACAGGAAACTCCAATACATAATGTAAACATACAAGTGCCACTGTGTGCAGGGAATGCCATCAATGCCATCAAATGCTAACCCATCAGGGCAGAAAGTACAGTGTTTGCTCAGCGATGGCAGCCGGCATGCTCAGAGGAAGGGTTAACAAGGAGAAGAGGAGGGTCAACAGGTCTCGATTACACCAGTCAAGTACTTAAACAAGCAGAAATCCACATTTCACTGGGATTGCCTCTGACATCCCTAAAGTAGCTGCAGAGACAAAGGGGGCAACGCACCAACATGTAATGTGCAATAATCTCAATGAGGAATGTTAATGATGCTGCCATTAATGTAAATTAAAGATAATCGCTCAGTTTCTTTCCCCGGAAATGTACTCAGTGTCTGGCTGAAAAAAAAAAGCCTAAATGTCAAAGTCATTCAGTAACAGTAAGCAACTGTGTCATGTCTGCTTTACTCTGTGCTCCACAGATATGTTTTAAGGGTTTTTTTTTGTTCTTTTAGTCGCCACATTTTCTTCCTCTCAAAACACTCTGGGATGGATGCCTCTGGCTTTTAGCTCACAGTGGTTATTATGAAGAAGTGGAGCATCCCCCCCACACACACACACACACACACATGCAAACCGCAGCACATTCAGCACACAAAAATGTACGTGTGTGTTGGACGTATGTTTCGTTGCAGGCAATGGCTGCGGTCTCTGCATTGGTCCCGAACATGAATTTATTCCGTGGTATGAGAACACGCTGACATCCCGTCTGACCAAACTCAAGTCACCACAATCAACAACACATTCAACCGTTATTTTCTACCACTCGGACGTGATTGTTTAAAGTGCCTTTGATTGGCTGCATGCAATCAAGAAGAGTCACCCAGCCCCAAATCAGACTGTAGAGGAGGCTCCTGGATGTGAGGTCATACATATTACATATTTTCTTCTGCCTGTTGCAGGCTCACACATACATTAGTATCTCTGGAGGCAGTAGTTCAGTGTGGTTTCAAAGAGTGGGAAAAGAGGCTCCATCCAAGGGTTAAAGAAAGACCCTTTTAAAGCTCCAGGAAGTCATTTTGAACAGAGCAGGTTTTAGAGGTGCTGCTGGTTTTGTCACATTTGGACAGAGCCAAACTAGCTCTCTCCCTCTTTTTCCATTCTAATGCTAAGCTAAGCTTAGCGGCTGCTAGCTGTAGCATCATATTTACCGCACAGACATGAGAATGGTATCAATCTTCTTATCTATCTCTCGCCAAGAAAGCTAATGGCGGTATTTTCCAAAATGGCTAACTATTCATTTAGCATAAGGTGTGATCTGGCCCAACTGATGTTTATAGGGAAAAAATCAAAAAATTAAGAAATTAAATAAAATCTCAGTTTTATTTATTGTGAGGTAAAAATCATCTTTAAATATGTAGAATTCCTAATTATTTTGTTGTTTTAAAAAACATCATAAATAAATAATAGTAAATAATAGTATTACGCTGTCACCACAACCTGATTATGAAAAGAATTTAGTAATACACAAACATAAAGGAGAGGGCAATACATGGCGCTACTTCGCTTAACGCTGACAAAGACAAACTCAAGTGACACATCAAAACTAAAGTGCAGTGGCGCAGCTTTTTCTAACCCAGTGGTCGCTCTCTGTGGTTGTGCTGTAGCACTGCTTGATGGATTTACTTGTTTACCAAAATGTCACATGTCTTTACCGTCGAACACACACCACATGTATACCACACATTTAGAGCACAGCAAGGTTTGTGCCTGTCAAAAAAACCCAAACAAAACTGCTGAAATCTCTATTTTGCACATAAAACATGAATGTGGGTGGGTTTATCCTCCCCTACAACCCAGCATGTAACCGCTGCTGCTCCGACCCTGCGTGAAAAATGAATGGATCTCAGCCAATTTGCCTGGTTTAATAAACATGTAAGGTTTAATAGTTTGCCCGTGCAATATGTACAAATCCTCAGCTAAAGCAGCAAGTCATGAATTAATTACCCTCACCTTCATTCCTGTTCGTTACCAGCTCCGGTTTGCTTCCACTCATTCAGCCGCTTCAGATACGGGCCGAGTTGTTGTCTCTTAATGCGTCACATTAGAGATTTGTGTTTTAAAAGAAACAGAAGTGTAGATTCCCCCCAAGTTCATCAGCTGCTGCAGAGCGTTCACACAGTTCAGCTCGTGTTGTCATAATGAAGCACATTAGCAGAGGTGTGAAAGTGTTTGTAAAAGCTGGATGTGTGAGGAGCTGTTCACGTGTGTGTGTGTGTGTGTGTGTGTGTGTGTGTGTGTGTGTGTGTGTGTGTGTGTGTGTGTGTGTGTGTGTGTGTGTGTGTGTGTGTGTGTGTGTGTGTGTGTGTGTGTGTGTGTGTGTGTGTGCTGTGGAGCGCGCAGTACACACAGGAGCTAAATGTTTCAGAGCTTTCTCAAGAAGTCTTTTTACAGAAAGTTGTTTCAAACCCCAGAGTGAGACACGTTAAGCAGCTCTGGCACGTGCAGCAGACTGTTCACCCTCTGTGTGTGTGTGTGTGTGTGTGTGTGTGTGTGTGTGAGCCTCATTTGCGTGACATTGTTTTTTCTTGCCAGCGTGGACCCTCCATATTCAAGCATTTCCAACCTCAAAACACTTCACTTACTTTTAAAAACAGTGTCTGTGTCTCGGTGGAAGATCTGTTCTCCTGTCATCACTTTCTGCCCCCCCAGCTCTTTTTACTCCTCCTTCACTCTTTCCTTTCTCATCCCCAAGCAATTGCTACCTGTCATTTACCCCATTTTTTTCACGCTCTCTGCTTCTCGATCTCTCCTCCCTCTGCTCCTCTCTCCTCCCCTCTTTCTTTCTCTGCTTGTGTTCAGGTTGTCAGTATGGCGGCGACATGCAAAAAAATCACTCATCTGTTCTCTCCTCTGTTAGTAGTCATACAGTTGACTGTTTGCCTCGCTGTAGCCCAGTGCTCACATAGTTGCAGTCAGTACACTGTGGGTGTCAAACATTTTGATTTGTTAGCGCATTAAAAGGGCACTCTACCAATTTTACACAGAAAGGTCAGTTTACTTGTCAGGAGGAGTATTACGCCGCCTACGAAAAAGTTCTGTATTGTTTTTTGTGTCTCTGAAGGAGATTTTGAAAGTCTGAAAAATGACCTTTGTGATGTAATCAGAACAGGCTGGGAGACTGAAAATGTAGTAGACAGTTGTGGCCATTTAGCTCAGGTCTCTTATTTGATGACCTGGGAATGAGAACGGGCTGTGAAGTGTGTAGGAGAACTTATTGGTTATCGTATTAACTGGGAAAAAATCCATATTGTGCATCCCTAACTATTGGCATCATGGGAAATGTAGAAACACTGTGATTGAAGGTTGACCCATATTAGCGATTAAAAATCTGAATATCTCAGCCTGTCTTTTCTTATTTTTTAAGTGTCTCCTGTGAGAGCCCCAACCTTCTGTCCCTTTAAACACAAGGCGCTCAGCTGCTACGTGTCCAGCTATCAATTACGAGGCATGTCACTGTAGTTATTTAGTGACGGATACAAAACACAGCCAGCCGCCCATCAAGAAGATTTCATTAGTTTTGCGCTCAAGGGTCGAAATCGTCTGAACCTAATCTCATATGAACTCAGTCCTTGTGCTTTTGTAAGCTAGTAATAGCTTTCTGTAGACTGCAGAAAATGCTAAAGGCGGTGTTGATGCATCCAAGCCAATCTACTGCAACATATTCTCCTTCTGTGTGTCTCTTTTTCATTTTTCACTCCTCTGTGTGTGCTGTCTGAAGGCAGTCCTGGTTATTAGTAATTCGTCATTAAAGCATATATATATATATATATATACATATATATGTTTTTGGGGGATTTTGTTGCCTTTAATCGATAGTAACAGCTGTAGAGTGACAGGAAAGGGAGCAGAGAGAGAGGGGATGCACCAATGACCACTGCAGCAAGGACTCAGCCTAAGTACATGGGGGCCCAGCTCTTTTCCAACTGTTCCAATTACAGCAGTAATTAAATAGACACGCGGGCTGTACTCTCACATGGTTCCACTACACCTGTTGCATCAGCATCGTTATCTCTCATCCCAGTCCAGAACATCCTTCAGGCTTTTATAACTTCAAAACAACAAGTCTGAAAGGTTTACTTCAGAGAGGAAAACAAAATAATAAAAATCAGGAGAAATCAAAGGTTGTTAACAAGCTCCCTGGGGCCACATGAGTTGGCATCAGTAGACCACAATACACCTTGTTTTTTATCAGCTTAGCTGAAATCCATGTTTGACCATGAGATCGGATTGTTTCTCTCTACCTGATGTGTGATGGTTTTCTCACTCTCTTTGTGTCTCTGTGTTTCCCGCAGTGAACAGAGTATCTGCCAGGCGCGAGCCGCTGTCATGGTGTATGACGATGCCAACAAGAAGTGGGTCCCAGCCGGCGGCTCCACAGGCTTCAGCAGAGTCCACATCTACCACCATACGGGCAACAACGCCTTCCGCGTGGTGGGGCGCAAGATCCAGGATCATCAGGTCAGTGGATGGAACGAGTACAAAGACCTGCACACACACACACAGAACCCTTATTCATTCAATGCATCAGATGTATGGAATATATACACACTATATACACTGATCCAGCAGTCCATTTGTATGCCACCATTACGGCGGTGGCCAGTTGTAGTGACTCTGTGACAGGGTTCCTTATATAGATGGCAATTTTAGCGTGATTCAAATTTTACATATTAGTGAGACATTTGTTAGACTAATGACCAGAAACAGAGAAAAATCTGACCACTTAACCATCTGCCACATTTCAAGTGATGTACTGTGTAATATTAATGCACTATCTAGCTAGCATAATCAATCAAGAGTTGCATTTAATTATCACAGACCAGTGATATTAAAAAAAACATGTTTTTTCATCACCTGGCATGGGAACCTCTTGGTCTTGGGTCACTCTTCATGAAGTAAAGGCTTATGTGTTCCACATTTAGTCTTCCTGATTTCTTAGACATTGTTGTAAAAGGAACATTACATAGAAAGTAAATGGAAAATTTGAAAATTGTACACTTCTTAGGACAGCTTGTATTCAGGCACACGCATACTGCAGGGAGACGCCACCGCAGTAATGGTGACTTGTTTACTTCCTGTTCTTCCCCGGATTCGTGTATATGCTGCTGTTCCACCTGGACTCTGTAGGACACTGGATTTCTACTAACAATGGAAGAGCCAATGCAGTATAATACACAATTATAAATGCATGTATTGCCTTTCATTTGATATTTTGTCAATCAGCCTTAAGAACTCTTTAGCCACTGACCTTTGTTTTTTCATTATAAGTGAGTACTGTTGGTTTTTGTTAAAGGCACAATCAATAATTCAAAATGAGACTCTGGTAAACAGCAGCAGCTATTTATTAAGTTATTGTTTTCTGAGGCAGTTAATGGTTTGTTTTCATCAGTAATATCTGTTGAAAAACACAATCTTTCATCTTTCAGACTTTTCATCTCTTTGATTTAATATCCCATTATACTTGAATATGTGTTATATAACACAATAAAGAGTCCATGTGGTCTCCTTCCAACAGCCACCCATGTAGCAGACTGGATGGACACAGTCCATATTCAAACATGTTGAGCGTGACACATTTGGCAGAACCCCTGCTGTACACCAATCACTGAGGGGGATTGTAGGTTCATAAAGGTTCTTAAATCTGAGAGCAGGAGGCCAAAGCGGACTGTTACCAAATATGGTATATGAAAATATTCACTTTTAAGTATCCAATGATGCCAACACATGACTGCATAGCCAGGGAATCCTGTGGTATTCATGTGCACACACAAATATGACAGTGTGGGCTCAGTACTCTCAAGGTTGATGTGAATTAATGATGACCTCAAAGCTTCTTAAAGCTGATACGCAAGTAATACAGTTTAAAGTTGTCTGCAGGTATGAGGGGCTGGGTTATGGGGGGTCCCAGGAGCTAAACACAAACTTTAGGGGGACAGTGAGTTTATAAGTGTCTCTTTTTTCCAGATGATTACAAAGATTTTTTAAGAAAAACAAGCGTGTTTTGTTGCCAAGTGCTTGTTAAAGCACACAGACAGTGTCTCCTCACACTGTGTGCTGGGACATTGTCACTCTGTGGAAAAAAAAAAAGACATATTGGAAGGGAAACTGAAAATGGATATGAACAATTATAGACACACACACACACACACACACACACACACACAATTAGTTGACCTTCCATTGAACCTTTTTCCCTCAGTCCTGAGCTCAACTCCTTGACTTCAACTCTTCTAAATCCAGTGTATGTCAGCACATCTCACTGCCTGCTAAGCTCTCATCTCTAAGAGAAACACACAAGCAACATCCATGAAAACACGCACACACACGGCAGAGCTCATATGAACACACACAATCACTCATACACTGCAGAGTCCTGGAAGGCGGAGGAAATGGGAGCAGAAATAGGAGCTCAGATCAGCTCACAGCTTGATGGCAAGCATAATCCTCACTTTATATAGGAACATCCGGTGCATTATGGGTGTGTGTATACAGTATACCGAGTGCTTTTATTTTCACATTTCAAGTGTAATAATACATGACGTTTCCTGCAAAACACAAGAAAAGGTGTGTGTGTGTGTGTGTGTGTGTGTGTGTGTGTGTGTGTGTGTGCGTGTGTGTGTGCGTGTGTGTGTGTGTGTGTGTGTGTGCGTGTGTTGTGCGTGTGTGTGTGCGTGTGCGTGTGCGTGTGCGTGTGTGTGTGCGTGTGTGTGTGTGTGTGTGTGTGTGTGTGTGCGTGCGTGCGTGCGTGCGTGCGATGATGACAGCATGTGAGTGATTCCCTAACCCTCAGCAATCCCAGAGTCCTCTGTGTCTTATTGTCTGAGTTTCCCAATGTGGCTGGAGAGATGGAGGGAGGAGAATGAGTCATAATGCCTCTGTCTCTTCAGTACAAATACAGCTGCTGTTCAAATACTGGTCAAATAGTAGCCATCCACAACACTAATTTTATCCTTGTCATACACTAGCAGTAAGGATACAGCTTCACCTACTTCCAACATTCACGGAACAGAGATTTCAAAGTTTTTCTGTCTGCTACAAGTGTGTGAAATTTTGACCTCTTTAAAAACATTAGACTCATTTCTAACCCAAAACTCATCACTACTCACACTGAACTGAAATAATTCCAATTGCTTTGCCATCTTTTTTGATTGGTGTTAAGCTGCTGAAGCTGTCGAAGTTTCAAAGTAAAAGGGAACCAGGAAAGTGAAAGTGTTAAGTTTGCATAGACAAATTAAAAGAGGGGCAGATCAGAAAAAAGTCTTAGTAAAGTTAATAAAAGTTACTAAATAAAAGTCTTATTAAAATATGGTAATATATATTCATAAAAAATGAGGAAATTGGCAGTAAAGGTTTGTCTATAATAAGCCAGTATCAAATAAAGGCCCCACCCACTGTCTGAGAATGTATACACTGCAACAGTGTGTTCATTTTTAGCCCTTCTAGAAACAAGACAAATATTCTTGAATATAATAACATTTCCTTGTGTTGAGAAAATAAAATCTGCCATTCGGGTAAGCCAATTTTTCTTGGCTAAAAGTCTTAAAACTAGCATAAAAACCTTGCCACTGAAAGACTGTAATGGGCCTTAAAACTAGAAAGAATGTGCTCATTATAAGCAACGAGTCACTTATTTAAGATAGACTTAGAATAAGTATTTTGGTCTCTCTACTGAGCTGAATTTAATGTACCTAAATCTTTTAGGTATCTAATTAGCAAAAAGATTTGCTTAGCTGCTTCATTTCCAACACTGGGAGAAACTACTTTCTCTTAAACTGAGAAATTGTGTAAGTGGTTTTACTCTTAAAATAAGGAAAATAATCTTCTGGCATATTATGCAAACCATTATTACTGGGTCAATCGAGCTCAATACTAGCTATAATATTATTGTTATTGAGACAAAGTTAGATAGATTTTCTTAAAAAAGAGATTATTATTGTCTTATGTAAAAGATTATTTTTCTGTTTAGGCAAAAAATTCCCGGCCCACTTAATCCCGAAACCGTGATACAGGACTAACATGATGTACAAACACTAGTCAAAGTGTGATCTTATCAACTAATTTAAAAAAAATAGGAATAGGAAGTCGGTGATGGAGCAGCTGTGTTTGTGTTAGCAGTTCACACTCGGAGCTTCAGGCTGATTGTCAGTTTGTATGGCACCGCTATCATAAGATGCACATTTCCTCCGTTTGTTTTATTCACTGCCACCTACAATAAGCATCTAGACTTACACCCGCTCAGTCCCTTCACACATTTACTGGCTGCTTGTTTTATTACCCAGTCCATCAACAATAAAAGAACGCTTATGTGACTCCCTGCCCGCTTGCCAGAGAGACATTATAATAACCACAAAAACTGACACTAGGTTATTTCTTGCTGGGTTAAAATAAATTTTGCCGGCACCGGCGACCAACCTTGTTTTCCATAAACCAGCAGATTGGTTACAGGCTTTAGCGCTAGAAGCTGTTTATTGGCCAAAGCAATATTGTGTTCTCAGGTGAAAATATTACCTTTTGAAGGCTGCTCTCAGCACAGTTTAATCCCTCGGTTTCACCATGGGATTTCTGAAATCTTAACTAACCCCGTAAGATAAGCTTTCGACCACTGGGCCCCTGCAGGGGAATGTTTTGGGTTTAGTCTCTTATTAGTTTGGATATGAGATGACACAGTGATTATGAGATTAAACTACATTACTCATCTTTTCAGGGTATTTCAGCTTTATCAGATGAAAAGTCACAAAACAATGTGTTTGTACATCATCCCCTCGTTTCACAGTGCCAGAAATTCACTGATTATGATGCAGATTAATATCTTTCAGTTATAATTGCTTTTCACATTCTGAGCATGGAGAATCAAAATCTGTTGTCATCACAGTCCCTCAGGTTCTGGGGCTCCCAGTTCGAGACCCTCATCTCTGTCTCAATAACTCAGAGAGGAGTAGCTTGAGGCCTTTTTGCTTGGCCGTGTGCCCAGAACTCTAAAATCCCTGATGTTCGCATCCAAAGTACCCTAAAATCAGATTGAGTGGATCATAAAGTCACTTTACGATGCCCTTTTACCACATAATGGCTACAGAGCCCCTGTGTTGTCATTTTGTGTTTAATGAGATTGGGGTTGTTTCGTGGGACAAGATCAGGGTGTGTGTGAATCATCTTTTTGATCTTGTGAGCTCCGGAGCTCGGTAGCAGGTGGACAGAGGTAGTGTCCTGACTGAGAGTGATTGATAGGCTGATGCTACAATACTTTTACTCCTTGTGTTTATGTCTGTGTTTGTGCTGCCAAGCCACAAATCTCAGGTCAGCCTTACAACATGCTTCAAGTTTTCCATATCTTCTCCAAAAGGCTGTTTCCTGTCAGTTTAAGCTCTCAACAAGGGATGGGCCGATATTATTAGTGTTAATAGTATTGTATATCAAAATACATAAACAAAACATTTTAATTATTGGGATAATCATGAATATCCTCACCTGGTTTCACTTGAAAAAGCTATCTTGCTCTCTAACGTCCTGTATTGATCACCTGATTTGTTTTGAATTGCCACAAGGGGGAGCCCTTTTCAAAACGCTAAGCTCGGCTTGCCCTTTGTGTACACCACAAAAAAAGTTCAACCGGATGTGTGGAATTACTATAAATTCCAAACTAAAGAACGACAGGGAGGTGAGGTGCCCAAAGGTTGAGCAACAAACCATATAAGATAGTTTAACTCTTTCTGAAGCCAGACGGGAAAGAAGCCTTCAATGCTGTTCTATGCTCTTCTTTCAATTAAGAGAAATACTCTCTAATATTCACCCACTCCTGCAGCTCCCAGTACAAAGGACACTGATTGGTCCGGTACCACTGTTCCAGCCACAAGCACATAGACTGAAGCCGGGCTAGATGGATTCTCGTATGATCTCGGGTTTTAGTGATCTCTCAAGTCGAGCTGCCTCGCAAGGTTTAAGCCTATTCTTAACTTATACAGGACTAGACAGCATATTGTTAATGGTGGCTTTTTATGAACAGTTGCTGATTGGGTTACTTTATAAATTGATTACTTTTGCTAGTTACCTCATTAATCATTGCTAATCTAAAGTTGTTTTTTCCCTCTTCACTTTTTCCCTTCCCTCCCTCGCTCATCTCCAGGTGGTGATAAACTGTGCCATTCCCAAGGGGCTCAAGTACAACCAGGCCACGCAGACCTTCCACCAGTGGCGTGACGCCCGACAGGTCTACGGCCTCAACTTCGGCAGCAAGGAGGACGCCAACGTATTTGCCAGTGCCATGATGCACGCCCTGGAGGTGCTCAACTCCCAGGACACAGGTAAGCTCTGCTTCCCACTGTATGTGTGTATGTTTAAAAGATTTATTGGGGGCATTTTCATAAGATTTTACTTGATTTTTATCATCGGCTGAGCCCCCATGGCCATACCTAATCTTGAGATGTTTCACCTACTTTCTGTATCAGGTTTTTCATTGAATTAAGCCTAATTCAGCTCAAACAGCTGTAAGTCATTTTGTATTCAGGATATAGCCTACTTTGATTTTCTTTTTGGCAATGTATTGAGAATATCCGACTATCCCATCCTGCACCACTAAAATAGCAGATGAGTGTTATCTGTTTCCAGTTACCTTGTGAGAATAAAAGACAAGCAGAGATTATAACAGAGCTTTTAGCAGAACAGCACAAGGTCGAGGCTTTTACTCCGAAGGTCTGAGGGATTTATATGTATCTAATAATTGAGCATTAAAACGAAGCAGTCTGGAGCTGGCTTTATAGTTACTCCATCTGCAGGAGGTATTCTGAGACAGGAAGCCACACAGGGGATGGGAACATTATATGGAAAATGCAGGATAACTAAAGACATATGTCAACAATGAAAACGTTTTGAAGTAAACACGAGCTACTAATGGGTTTACCAGAAACAATAATTAAAGTGAAATGTCTTAATAGATCACAGAAAGCTTGCTGCAAAGTTAGAAGGTTGCAATTCAACAGCCTTCTTAATCAAAACTTTCACTTTGAGCTGAAGGCTCAGGAGGCATTTAATGATGATGATGATGAGAACCGGCGACAGTTAATGGGTATTTGAGTGATGTATTTTTAGCATCGCTGAGGGTGATTGGTGCATGTGCCAATCAGTGGTCATTTATTAAACTTGTAATTGACCATTTAACGAAGAATAAAGGGGACGATCTCATGGCAAGAGGCTGCTGGTTCACATACTCAGAGAAAGAGGAATGATTCAGTATTCACGTCACACACATGCACATTCACACAGCCCTATCTAATTCTGCCACAAATATTCGCAGGCTGTAATTTCAGCGGTACCCCACGACCTTGGTTTTATAAAACACGCACTCGGTACGTAGCTCCGTCCTCCGGCTGTGTATCTACATTTGCCCGCCTGCTGGGAGGGATGAGAGGGAGGGATAGGGGGAGGAGGGGAGGGAAGGGAGAGCATTGTTACCCAGATGAGTGCAGATCTTCAGTTTTGCGTCGGTGCGAGTGCTTGTGCTGTGATTCAGACTCCCAAAGTACAGACTAATCACCAGCTACCACGTGTGAGGCAGAACTTGCTGCTGGTTTCCTCTCCTCGTCTCATTTAATTGCGGCCTCCTCCTGTTTGGTGATCTCAGCATCCAGATGCTGCTCCACATGACCTGCCATGCCCTGCACACTCCTCTACCTCCTCCCTCCCTAAGCCATGCCTCTCATCACACTCTAATCCCATCCACTAATTAACCTGATAGTGATGCGCCTCATTATGCTCATAGTGCTACGAGGTGTGTGTGTGTGTGTGTGTGTGTGTGTGAGGACAAGGCAGAGCATCAGAGAACAGACAGACAGCAGTGACAGGAGGAGACATCCAACGGGAGTTAAAGGGAACTCGTGCCAGGATCTTGTCATCCCAAATTTGACCGTATAAAAGCGAAATGTAACTTGGTGGAGGTTTCTAAGTGCAGGAGTTGTGCTTTGTGTTGCTTACAATACCTTCTGTCGTCAAAACTAATTACAATCGTACAGTAATGGCCTCTCTTCTTTTTTCCCATTCATTAAATTTATTCCCAAGAAAAGAAATCACATTTCTGATGCCAAAAACTGACAGCAAGAATGAATCAAGCCCACAACTAGATTTTAAATCACAAAACTTACTCAGTTCAGTTCAATGCCAGATTTAAAATAAAATAAAATTGACTTTCCGAGTAAAGAGTCATCCACAACGATAACTATTAGTATATATTTTAAAGATCGTTCTAAGTCAAGTGGATCATTGGGATCACTTTCAGAGTGATTAGATGAACCGAACTGTGGTATACAACTTATTAAACGCTTATATAACACAATATTATTAACATACAGCAGCAAGAGGTCATGGATATACATTTTCCTAAGCTTCCGACACAGTTAGAGCCGGCATGTGTTCATCAGTCTCTTCCTGGTGTGTGTCTGTCAGTGTGTGTGACGCGTCCCTCTCACTTTTCCCCAGTCACCTATGTACTTCACACACAGTGTGCTGCCTGAAAGGAGTGTCACTTTACCATGCAGCAGTGGGTCATGGTATATAGATAACATAAGAAAAAAGATTAAAAAAAAGGACCAGTCTGTAGGATTTAGTGGCATCTAGACGTGAAGTTGCACACTGCACTTAACTGAACACCGCTGGCGTCTGTATTCAATGACCTCGGAATGAGAACGCGCTGTGAAGTGTGTAGGAGACCACAAAACTCACGAAAAAGCCAGTATTTGGTTTGTCCCTTCTGGGCTACTGTAGCAACATAGCAGACTCCATGGAAGGCAACCTGTGGTGTCTGTAGATAAAAGCAACTCATTCTAAGATAACGAAAACACAGTGATTCCTATATTCACATAAAACATACCTATGAATATTATATTCCATTTCTACTAAATGGTACACACTGGACCTCTAACTCTCAAACCAGAACACACTCAGTGCACACACTCCTTGAATATTCTGGCGTATCTCTAATTCAGTATTTGGAAGAAAACATTTAGGAAATCTTCAATCTATCAAAATCCAGTTGGGTCTGGCCTGATTCTACATATCAGGGATAGATACACAGCCAGATACTGTAGCATTCATTAGTCAGAGAACTACCCTCAGAAGTGTCTTACTAACGAACAGCACAGCCTCAGGCACTTTCCTCCACTCTTCTTATTTTCTCTCTTAATATCTCCCTCCTTGCTCCCATTTTTTACCTCACTTTATCTCTCCCAGCTCTCTGTGCCACTGTCTGATTCTTCTCACACACTGCCTTCCCTCCCTCCCTCCCTCCCTGTTGCCTCGCTCCCTCCTCTCAGCGGTGCAGCGAGCCGCATACAGAAGCCGGAGGAAGGCGACAGGGTTTCCCCTTTCACCCCACTGTTTTGCTACCGTATTCCTGTCCTGACAGCTGCTCTCTGTGGCGCCTATTCCAGTCGCAGTCGTCTGTGGACCTGACAATCCTCCCGACACACGGGGTTCACTCTCCATCACTCACTCACTGGGTGCTAAACTCCTGCCACATGACAGAGCGTCGGAATCAGATCACTCATTTTAGATCTCCATTTGTTATATGTGCTGATATGTGCTGTGTGAGTGGTGTAGCGGAAGCTTTTAATGATCGTTTTAATGCCTTGCTGCGATGTGACCTCTCTGACTCGATGCCAGCGTCTTTGATGTATTAAACCGACACGTTCCACATAAGGAATAATAATCTATTTGATTTATGGTTCTCTCACCAACACCGGAACAAGTGTTGAGTGTAGTAAGTATTTTTAAACAGACTATCTAAGCTTTTATCTAAAGTGCTTTAGAGTACCAGTATATATTGGAGGCCTAACTGAGGTAGTGTTCACACTCTGCAGGAGCAGCTCAATAATCAATGGAGGCATAAATCTCAAGGTACCAAACCATGGTCAGCCCCAGCCAGGGGGGACGGTTAAGCAGAACAAGACAAACTGCTGGATGAGAACAGTCATGAGCTGCTTTTACATTTACAGTATCTACACTTTATAGGTCTGATTTATATGGTGGTGGTGGTCAGTTCTTTACTCTTGATGAGTCTCTTCTCTTATCCCAGGCCTGAAAGCACTTGCACGCCAAACACGTTTCACATATTTATAAGACGATGAAAAAGAAATAAGGGAGAGTGGAAAGGAGTGTGGAGATGAGGGGAAATCTCCACGTTCTCTCCCCCAACTTGTCAAGTACTGCTGTTTGGTCAGTGGCCGTCCGCTGTAGGTTCCCATCTAGTGTCATTTATGGACAAGTACTGAAAACTACTTGGTTAGCTTTGCCATGAAAAACACTTGGTTAGGTTTAGGAAAATATCGTAAGTTATGTTACATGCTTGACATAACTTAAGTACATGAAAAAAAAGTAACTTACCTGATGTAATTAGTGTATGTTATTTCAACCATGTTGTATTCACCGTGCCACCTCCATATGCAGACTTTCTTGCGCTCTATACTACCCCACCTGACATATAGCGTCATATCTTAAAGCGGAGGGCCACTGAGCATATTTGATGACTTGTGACTATTCCTTTCTCTAGCTGACTCAGTAGTGGTTCCCAAACTTTTTCAAACCACAGCTTTATAGAGATCTTTTCACGCTCACCTACAGGCCTGCAACCTGCGACATTTTCAGCAAAAATGACTCCATTCATATCTGTTATTAAAATGTAATTTACCAAGCAAATAAGAGTGATTTCACCTATAAATGTATTGGCTGAGCACGACCTTTTTGAAACATATTGTCCTATTCTGTTATTCACTTTAGAAGAATTAAGTAGTTTTTATTACAGTATTTGAAGTAGCACCAAGCAAAACATAAAAAAAGAATTCCTTCATGTAGCACTTCTTTGGGTGACGTATTGTAAACAATGCAATTTAGTTGTTAGTACTTGTACACTATATTGTGATTAAAAATCTTCTGTCTTCTGTTTACAACTCGAAATCTCTAAATGCAATATCATGTTTTTATGGTGCCAATGGAGAAATCTGCAGGCAAAAGATCGCAATTTAAATCGTGATTGAGATTAAATAATTTATAGATGGATAGATATTTTTGGTTGGGTAACCCACCCCTATTTGAATGCATAACAGAACAAGAGAGTTGACCACCATGTGTCACCAACCCACGCATGACTATTGCCCCCAACCACCTACTGTACATCCTTTTCTCTGACCGCTACAAAGTAGAGAAATACTGCTACAAATACACAAATAACGAGAACCACGTGTCAGGTCATCTTGCAGGTAAAGATGATTTCTCGCTCTCAGAAATGCCTCCTCTAATCTGGAATTTGCCTCCGCTT